GCGGCTAATTTTAAAAGCGCTGCCATAGTGGGTTCGATACCCGGACCGAGCAAAATTTTATAAGGTTTTCTAAGAGAAAAATATAATATTTTACTACCAGTACTAACTGTCTATCTACGGAGTAAGTCTTTAGATACAGTTACCTAGTTGTAAAATATTATCAAAATCGGAACATTACCCCGAACAAACAGACAGACAGACAACAAATATTTAAACTGGTTTTTAGGCATGGTATCGTGCATATCGTGCAACCATATGAGCATGAAAAAAAACCTATTATTTTGACATTACAAACAGACACTTCAATTTTATTTATTAGTGTAGATGAAGAACCATTCGACACATATGGGCTAGTTCGACCGTAGTGATATCAGGAAAAACCGGTGTTATGCAATTATTTGTTGTTTTTCATCGAAAAAGTGAGGTAACCGCACCCTTTTTAGTCACAATATCAGCTATGAGTATATCTCTTACCCGTTTGGGAGACAACATTCAGAGCCCTGTAGGACCCATAGATTTCTATTTCATATATTGCGCGCTAATTCTTAAATTTTCCTTTAATTGATTTTGTGAGAGGCATTTATCTTTCGACTCACCAGATGGGAAGTGTGACCACTCTACTCTCGAAAGTTTCACGATTATAAATATTTGGAACAAACACGCACCAAACAATTCCATACAATGATGACTTGAACAAAAAGACATAATACAACTTTTCTGTATTTCTTCAACAACCTCTTTCTGCTAATCTAATCATTAAGCTAAATCTGCGGCCTCCGAATCCTACTCACCCATTTTCAAGCACTTCCCGATAAGCTACGTCACAAAAAAGGCCAAACCTGATAGCCATGACGTAGCTTGTAACAGATATGCTGATAATGTCAAAGGAACCATTATTAAAACTTGGTGCCCATCACTCGCACACCTATATAAACTTATCGACATAACAATTACTCACCAACCACGGCTACCACAAACAATACCTACACAGATTTCATATTACAGACGACAACACCTGCCCCTGCGACAACACAACTACCCAGACATTTAGACACCTTATTACAGAATGCCCACGATACACTCGCACAAGACTCAACCATGAACAACTCTGTCACCACTTTAACTTAGACCCATACAATTTAACATTACTGATCACCAACAACACCGCCACCCATACCTTTATGACTCACCTCACCCTTATAGTCAACACACTTAAAGAATTTAATAACACATAACGCACTCATATATTTCTGTATCAAATAGCAGAATGTACCATAATAATTTAATAAACTCCCCCTCATGGTGGTTTAACCGCGAGGGGAAACTATAAAAAAAAAAATCATTAAGTTAGAAGAACGCTTTCACACACTCTTCAAAGTGAATAACTAAAGTTTGATATGTCAATGTCTCAAGAGTCCTCTATTCGTGAGCACATCATCATTTCTAAGCTTACGGGATATATTTTCTTTCCATAACGCTACCCGACGACTTTTGGAAGTGATGACGATAGACGGGAATAAAACTGCGAGGACCACCTACTTAAAACATGAAGAGTATTTGTAAAAGAATTCCGGCCTCAATTTCAATCAAAGACCGCGTTTGTCCAATTAGCAATAGCAGCAAACAATAAATTGGGGCGCTTGTTTTATAAAAAAAAATAGATGTTCAAATATGAGTACAGTAACATTATGTTTTTATAAAATATTTTTTTTTCATGAAACAATAGCTATTTCATTTGATTGTGATACATATAATATGTCTATTCCCATTAAGGGATATATAAAACTACATTTTGCCCGCGGCTCCGCCCGTGTATATGTCCATTTTTGCGGTAAAAAGCCTAATATTATAACTGCCTACGTTACTCGCTAATAATGTAGCTTTCCATTGGTGAGAGAATTTTTAAAATCGGTTTAATGGTTTAGGCGTGAAAGCGTAACAAACAAACAAACTTAATTTCACATTTATAATATAATTTTGGGTGTAAGTTATGGTTTTAAACGCCTTTTTTTATTCGGTTTGACATTTATATTCGATCGAAATTTAAGCGTATTTTTTTTTTAATTCACTAAACTTTAATTAGAGTTTGAGTTATGAGTTTAGAGAGAATTATGAATAGAGCTCATAGCACTTCATAAAAAGATGGTACAAATCTGAAAATTTCCTCATATGTTCCCCGTGATTAAAGACTTCACTGTAATTTTACATAAATTAAATGATAATATGTTTCTAGCACTGTCTGGTAAATATTTAACTTTGTAAAATATATCTAAATTTCTGGCAAATAAACGTATTCTATTCTAAATTTGGAAGTGGGTGTCGTAAAAGCCGACTTAGGGAGAAAACTACGCAGAATAAGAGCACTGCAAAAAGACACTGCACGAAACTACAAGAAAGCTTGACACAAACCCGTCTTACCAGAAACCTCCTTTCTAAGGAGAGGCTTATAGGTTCAGAAGTGGACTAATAAGCTGTTGATGACTGATGATTCTAAATCTGAAACAGTCTTATAAGTGATAATTTACCAATTGCCACTAATACGAGTTTTCATTCAGCATGTTAGCTGTAGTAAAAAATCTTTAATACACAGCTTCTACAGTTAGTCATTGACTTTTACCGAACTCAATAAGCTTAAGCGGATCTAGATGAAATTTGACACAGATAGTCTGTGCGTTAGATATTTTTAACCAACTTGATACGCCTTAATCATGTGCAACAGTAATAAACTATGTTCTTCCTTTCTTAATTTTCCATTAGTTTAAATAGAAAGAAACGAAAAGTATACCTTTCAAAATGGGAAATAATTTTCCAAATCGGTTCAGGAATGACGGAGGCCTGAAGTAACAAATAAAAAAATATTACTGCAAGCATAGCCACGGGCATAAGCTTGTTAATACCTATCAGAACATATGCTCCTTTACTGCATTGGTATTGGTTTTGGGGTCCGGTTGCTGCATTTAGACTCAAGATGGTCCTTTATGCGTCGAGGGCAGGTTGGCTAGGTGAGCCAACCAAGCTCCTTCCAGAAGCGCAGAAGCCTCCTGGAGCGTTCACAAGTTTCTAGGAGCGATTTTGTATCAGCTCCTGTACTATACTTCAATTTCAGAGCATGTACAGTCTTTCAATTAAACTCGAGAAGAAAAGTTTCCAACGAGTAATTGACCGATACACCAACGAAACTAAATGAAACATCCAACACGACGCTATAATAACTTGTCTTGTACTGCGGCCTGTACGACAATTAGCGTGCCTTGCCCCTGGTGAGCAGAACAGGGGAGGCGGTGGAGTAGTTTGGATGTTACAAAATTAAATTAAAGTTACGGTGTTCCTGTAGTGATGAGTCAATGGGATTATAGTTTAGATATGAAGTCTGGTTTATAATATATTCTGTTTATGAAATATAGTATATTTTGACTCTCAGCGGCTACGGGTTACAACTTTTATGTTAATATCTTATGGTACACATCTAAAGTTAGTGCGATCAGTTGAGTTGAGCTTCAACATTGTAATTCTGTCTAATTAACTATGTGAGCTCATATATTTAATTCAAAAATGATTCATAAAGTTACAAGTTTTAGTTGAATAACGCTTTGTGTAGAGGTAGTAAGTGGATAATTATAATACTAATGTAGGACGTATTTTAAAAAATAAGCGTACCCTGTGCAATAAGATTTAAAACGGAGATAAAAATGTGTAAAGTAATATAATAATCTATTGATATGAGTATGTTATAGTCAATACTGTTCTAATCTGCATTTGAAAATTATTTTTATTTTTCTTTATTTATTTTTCTTGCAAGTCGATTTGATTTGTAAAGCAAAACTTCTCTTAGCTCTTAGCATTTCATTGTATCATAAAAATACACGTAAAGTACGAATATGTCTATACTAGGCTTTTTAGTCACTGAAAAGGCAGGTTTTTAAGTTTTTTTTAAAGGGCATATCCATAACAAAGTTACAAGCGTGATTATCAAGAATAGTATAGCTGTGACTTTACTATTTATTGGTTGAAATTTCGAAACGGCTATAATTATTACAGATTAAAAAAAAAACTACATACCTAATGGATTATGTCGCATTCACTCATGCCGTTGTTCCACAAAATGTCAAGAATGTTGGCAGTTCATTGTGTCGTCGAAAAATGGCACTTCATTTAGACACAGCTGGCTGTTGTACGCCGACAGAATGCGTGTTATGTCTGATTTAATGTCGCGTATAAAGGCACGCCTCAGACACGCCCGGTGAACAAGCAAATATCTATATTAGTTACATTTTTGTACACCCGTATTACACATGCAAACGTACCCATACTTGTATTCTCGAAGAAATAAGCAGAGCACATTTTGCTGACTACAATTTTAATTCCACTTTCAACATTATATTGTCTATGCCTGTGTTGGATGAAGCGAAACTGCTGTACAAAAGTTAATTTATGTATTAAGTAACTTCCTATGTGGGTGACATGATTACTGCCTGATCAAGCCTCTGTTTTTTGGTAAATATAGAAAAAAAACACTTTTTCATAATATGGGACAAGCTTCTTGACACCAACTAAACATTACAGGAATTAGATGGAAAAATTAGGGTAATATAATATAATAATAATAAAATATACCTCACACATCTCAAACACGGCCGTCTGATCCGAAACTAGGCAGAGCCTGTGCTATGGTAACTAGACTGCTGATAAACATACTTATATTTTTACATAGTTTATTATAATTTTATTTTTTATTTATGTTAACTAGACTACTGATAAAAATATATCTCTAAATACATATCATATCTCTCCAAATACATAAATATTTTAGATAAATTACACTTACAAATAGATCAAATTATCGTGCTCATCGCAAAATTATTTGTCCATGGTGGGAATCGAACCCACGACCTCTGGCTCAGCAGACAAGATTACTAACCACTAGAGTCCAGACCAACAGACCATCATTAGAATGTGGATTTATTTCGGTCTTGTTTCTAATCACGTTCTTTTTGTTCCAGTTTAACTTCGTGGGCAAACTGCTGGGACCTAAAGGCAATTCTCTTAAGCGTCTACAAGAAGACACAATGTGCAAAATGGCAGTTCTCGGACGAGGATCGATGAAGGACCGACAAAAGGTATTAAAGAAGAAACATTTTCAGCCGAGTATTTATATTTCCCTCTCAGTAATTTTCAAACTCGATTAGAAACCAATTCAAAGAATAATATTATCTACTGATTCAGTTCTATTGCTCTTGTTATTGTTAAAAAGTATATATGTAGATAATCACTTACTCAGCTTTATAACATATTATAATCTCAGTAATTAGTGTTAATTTGTAATAATAATTTTGGACTGCACGGATGGCGTACCTAGTGGTTTAAGCGGTCGCCACGCCGCTTCCTACTTCGCTTCTGAGTCTGGCTTTGTGTTAATTTCATGTATGTTTGTAAAATCCCCCTCGACTCAGGATATTTGCGTAATGCCTTTGTCTTTTTTAAAAGAAAATAATCTTCATGAACATGTTCCTACTAATTAATCGAGGATGGACCTCAAACATGGCCGAAAACATAAATTGTAATTGGCCCTACCAGAAAACCGTTGGTGAGTATGAGATGCTCTAACGACAAAATAAAAGAATGACATTTTAAACTCCCACCCATAACTTGCTGACTTGCGCAACTTCGTCTGCGTCTCTCAAAAGAAAGAAAGAAAGAAAGAGAGAAAGATAGCCTTGATAAATGAGCTATGCGACACTAAAAAAAAATACAATTCGAACCAGTAGTTCCTGAGATCAGCGCGTTCAATCAAACAAACAAAGTCTTTAGCTTTTTAATATTAATATAGATTTGTAAAAACCCACTTTATCTTATTTAAATATTGTTGTTTTTTAATTTAATGTGTGATCAAAAGTAAATGCTAAAAATTTTAAAATCCATACGTGAAATGCAAAGAATTATTCATTTTCACAGGAGGAAGAGCTTCGTGTATCTGGAGACCCGAAGTTCGCGCACTTATCGGACGAACTACACGTTGAAATCAGTGCTTTTGCGACACCTGCTGAAGCACATGCGAGGATCGCCTACGCACTGGCGGAATTAAGGAGGTTTTTAGTACCTGTAAGTCTGTATGAATTTTATTTTAAGCTACACCAAGAACATCACATGCGTCATGTTTTGATTTTGAGTTCGAGTTCATCAACAGCCTTTTATAGTCCACTGCTAAAAATAGGCCTCTTTTTGGAAAGTAGGTTTGGCCTTTTTTTTACCTGTGCAAAACGGGCCTGCACCCCACAGGTTTGTGGCGGGGTGGTGTGTCGGAATCGAACCGACTAAATTACATATTGTGCCACTCTGCGCAACGGGGCGAGCACCACCTTCGGGTACATTCTCTATTTGGGCTACGTCCGGCACACGCGGACGAGAAAGGATGTTTTAGCCTACTACGCCATACTAGTCAGACGGTTTATTACAGGGTTTGAGTCACATTTTGCTTCTCTTTGTAGTGTCGTTATCTTTCATAGTTATTAACAGAATATAAATAAAAAAGTTACAAAATACGGGCTTGTAAAACACCCCTGGTAGACAGACAGTCCTTAAGGAAAACAGAAGTGTGTGTTTGTATGTGTTTAATAACACTTAGTTAATAAATATTAGAACAGCAGTTCCTATTCACGTATGTATGTAGATATTGTGTATCGTTCAGGTACATAAAATATTAAGACACGAACGAATTCCAACATTAGGTACCTACACGCAAGTTGGGAAAACATTTCTGAGATATTAACTTGTAAATTTTAATACCACATTCTGTACACGTATTCCGTATATTTAATAATACATGCGTGAATGTCGGATACGCTTGTAAAATGGGTAGTGTGGTGTGTGAAGTCATATATTTATGAAGTACACGGGACATCTCCTTTCCCTTGGAGTTTTTACCAATAGCGTTGCATTTTTCAAGGCCAACCCAGCATAAGTCACTCAATTGCTTATGGATTCGTAACCTACAAAATGACTAACGCAATTTGTAGACAGTTACAGCTAAGAATATATCAAAACACAATGCCTTCTTTTGCTCCACCTTCAATGAAAGTTATTACGCTTTCCTGTAAAGTGTACGTTTACAGGAATTGTTCGATCGCGTTATAGCTTTTATTTACCTTTGAATTTGCGTGATATTTTGATCAGGTTGTATAGGCTGTAGTCACAGGCTGACTGGCTCAGTTGTGCAGTCACGGTGCATGCAATTTTCATTCCTGTACCTGTCATATCATCACATCAACAGCTTGACATAGGCCTCTCCTTAGAAAGTAGGTTTTGGCCTACTATACCACACTGGCCAGACGGGTTCTTATAGTTTTTGTGTCAAATTTTCCTTCTCTCTACAGTCCTGTTGTTCTGTGTAGTTTTCTCGATTAGTCGGCTCTTACGACATCCACGGGATGAATAGGGGACACTGTCACTGTCACCACACGGACCAACTGTACCTGTATATTTACATTTTTAAATATCATGTAACGCCATTATTTAAAAGTTAGTACTCAAAGTGTTTGTTGTTTTTTACTCGCAGAATAATATATCGTATTATTCTGCGAGTTAAATCCAACAAGTCAAATCAAATCATAGAAATAATATCTGTTTACGCATTTCTCACTAGCTAGGCTAGGGCAGAATTTTGCTTCTCTTACCAATATTCATCGCACCTCACCCCCCAAATATCATACCATGAATCATAGGCACCCGGTAGAAAACTATAAATCTATACGTTAATAATAATAAAACTCATAATAGTCCTCCAATACTCGCATGTTCATAGATATGATCTATGATTCGAGCTAACGTTTACGACTCTTTGCGCCATAAAATATCGTATTTAAGTATCGGAAGCTAGTAATGTACGAATTAATGGCTTTTTGGCAGTTTCTGCAATGTTTTTTTACCATGATTTATGACAGTTTGACTGAAGTTTTTGGCGTGTTTTAAGATAGAAAACAAACAAAGGTTGAAGTGTATATGTTCATAGTTTTACTCACGAGAGTTTGTCAAATGAATTTGTTGCTGAACCATTGATCTCTGCAAAAATTTAAGTTTATCAATTGAATGGAAGTTCAACAAACTCTCTGCTAATATCTCTGCTCTAATCATGACAGAACTCTTTACTCTGCCAACAATCTTCTCCTTCTTTGTCCTTTGTCCTTCACGTACTTCCAGTATGGTCCATTCTTCCTTCCCTGTGCAAGCTGTAACTCTTTGGAACACACTCTCACTAAAAATCAGAATAACCGGACACTTTTAAGCTTAAACACCTTACTACAACTTAAAACACCATAAGAGTATATTTCATCATCGTCATCATCATCAACAGCCTTTAATAGTACACTGCTGGACGTAGGCCTCTCCTTAGAAAGGAGGTTTTGGCCCACTATACACTGCTGGCCAGACGGGTTGGTATAGGGTTTCTGCCAAGTTTTCCTTCTTTTTGCAGTGCTTTCGTCCTGCGTAGTTTTCGTATTATATATATTATGATATTTATATGTATAAACTATATGTATGTATACCTAGTACTTATATATATGTAGTTATATATCTGTGTAACATTTCTCAATTCAGTCTCATCTTTACCTGTCCCAAAAATACACCTGCCACACACAGCTTTGCAACACCCAAAGGTTCGACTTTCAATCATTAAGTCCACCTTATGCAATATGTTTGCAGGAAGGCTCAATAAATAAATAAATAAGTAATAATAAACTAATCCCTTAAAAATTTGTATGTTAGTCTGTGTTCCTAAAAATGGTATTGGATAACAATTAACAGGTTACGATTCTATAGTTTTATTTAAAGAAGAGACTGTCTTGAGTTCATATCCCTTCCCGACTATTGATTTTACCGACAATTGAAATTCTTCTCGTTATGAGTCCAATCAGTAATTTTTTTTTTAGTGTAGTATAGATTAGATATTGTATACAACAGAAAACTCACTCGTAGTATACTGAGTCACTGAGAATGTTTGATAACCAATAATTAGGGATATATTTGTACTCTTCTTAAAGTCACGTGTCAGTATGTCCAAAGTTTAAAAAATATAAAGACACACATACATATAAAACATTACTTTACTTCCTCTAACTGACTGGTGACATCAACGCAGAGCCTGGGACTGCAAACTTGAAATTTTGGCAGCTGATGTTTAATCACCGACTAAGAAAGGATTTTTGGAAATATTATCCCTAAGGAGGTAAATTAAGGGATGAACGGTTGTATATAAGTTCATCATAGACTGCACGGATGGCGTAGTGGTTTAAGCGGTCGTCACGCCGCTGACTACTACGCTGAGTGTTGTGGGTCCAATCCCCACATGGGACGACACTTTGTGTGATCCACAAATTGTTCTTCTAAGTCTGGGTGTTCTTTGTTTCCGTTTCATGTATGTTTGTAAAGTCATATATTTCTGATGCGTTATTTAACATCATTTAGAAAATTAGAAACATTAAATAAGAAATAATAACACAAGCGAAACCGCGGGCAACAGCTAGATAAATGTAAGATAGTAGGGAATTATAAGCCTATTTCTTCTACTCGAGTAAGTTAGAGTATCAGGCCTTATCTAGTCGCCACCTGTGCGTTTGCACATTAACAGAACATTAATCACAAATGCTCCAACTTATTCAAACAAAGGTTGGGTTTTCGTGAACAAACATATTTTATTTACTCTGAATACTTTGACAACGACTGTTGTTATAAATTCTCACCTAATCGCTTTTTGTCCAGACTTTTGTTACATTTCTTCAAATTCACCACGATAGGAATTACTTTGTTATTTATTTGTCTCAAAGAAAATATATTTCGGAACATTCCACACTTTTTGTGAATACTGAAAATTTTGTATAATAGAAGTTTTGGTACGAAAATGATGTTGTTTTGTATACTGGTTGTTATTGTGTCATTGTAAATATACAGTAGTACATACGACCTACTTTTTAAGTAAATAGAGAAAAGTAGAAAAACAAATTTGTTATTCGAAGGACGTTCTTCTAAGATAACAACAATTTATTTTTATACAACTTTTAAGTACACAGCACTAGTAGCGCGAACACTGCAGAAGAGACGAGGTAAACTCACTACTCTTACGGGAAATATCATGTTTTAACTGCTTATCATTAAACTAAATTGAAAAAAAACCGGTCAGGCACGAGTCGAACTCATGCACCGAGGGTTCCGTACCTACCCAGATTTTACTTAGAAATTTGCCCATATCTTTTTATCGTGATGACTCAGTACCTTGATTTTTATACACCTAATAGGGACCATAGAACTCAGTATCTGGTATAAATTTCAACTTACTAGGTCTACCCGTTCCTGAGAAAATCGGTGGTGACGGACAAGAAAGTGATCTTATAAGGGTTCCTTTTTTATCTTTTGAGGTACATAACCCTAAAAATAGAAAAATTGTAATTTCTTTTGTAAAATTTATATTCAAAAACAAGTTTTGCGTTTACGTTTCATAATCGTTCGTTGTATTGGTTAATTAACGCACTGAAAATTTTCGGAGACTACTACATGAATAGTCGAACGACTGCTATCTTTTAATTCAATTAGTTTATTGTACTCCATAACACACACACACAGGTCTTATAAATGTAAAAAGCAACACTTATGGACCCTTTCACCAATTATTTTCACATTTAAGAATTATAACCCTTTCGTAACTTAACATTTATCAACAGCCTTTAGTGTTCCACTGCTAGACATGGGCCTCTCCTTAGTGAGGAGGTTTTGGCCTACTATATCACGCTGTCCGGACGGGTTGGTCAAGGGCTTATTTCAAGTCTTTCTTCTCTTTGCAGTGCTGTTGTCCTGTGTTGTTTATTAATGTTGGCTCTATCATTTTCCTCAAAATAAATGGGACTGGTTGGACCATAATCCGAAGAGGTATTCGTAATATCGTTACAAATAATAATGCCTTCCTAAGAACCGCTAAGAATGAAGGTTTCCCCGAACACGAACGTTCATTATTTAAAGAAATGAAAATTATTTAAGTTCATCTAATCAATTTTAATGGGTGACGAGAGGCCAACTGTCACAGGACTCCGTTATCACTGCATTTAAAAATCAGTAAACTCCTAAAATAAATAATATTCAGCCTAATTTAAATATATTTCATAGCTGGAAAAAATTGGTTTATCAAACTTGTTAACAGAATTTTAAAAGGCTCCTTATACAGCAGTGGACGGCAACAGGCTGATGATGATAATGATAAATTATAAAAGAAAGCAGAACATACTCTTTCTTAAAAATATGTTTCTCTCTTTTCATTCTCCTCTAACTTCTCTTAAATCGTTACAGGACTACAATGACGACATCAGACAGGAGCAAATGTTGGAGATGCAGATTCTGTCTTCACAAACCGAGCAGCGGCGGCTTACACCACCAGACTCGTCTAGGAGTGGCAGTGAGGAAACTCTTCCACTCAGGGATACGGTGCATAAGCATAGAGTAAGTAGAATAAAAATCGTAGTGAATAGAATAAAAAGTGTTTTGTTAGTGTGAGTACACGTTTGAATAACTGTACAATTTTTGTGTGGACACTCTGACAGGTCATAAAAACCTCTGGAATCGATCTTGTCATAACATAAGAAATAAGTCCCCGATAACCCCGACATACTCGTATATTCGCCACATTGAAGGCTTTAAGTTGTCCATTATTGAATGCTAGGCGTTAAATACCAATTTATATATTTTCATCATTACCAGTCATTCACAAGAATGCTAACTCAAACCTCTTTTTTCTGGAATAGGGGGCAAACGAGCAGACGGGTCACCTGATGGAAAACGAGTACCGCTGCCCATGAACGCCTTTTACAACAAAAACAAACCTCAACGTCTATACACTAAGGACTAAGGAGTACCTAATAATTCGGCATCACCAACTCTATATCTGCTTTACCAAAGCTTTACATTTCAAAAAGCGCAAATGGATAAAAAGCCTTCGCTACTTAAAAAAAACAACAATAACGATATCTATCTATAACGATAGAAGTTTGTAAATATTTTTATAGTCATGTCTTTACATGAATACAAAATATTTACTAAATTCTCGTCTTCTTCGTCTCGTCTCGTCTCGTCTTTCGACTTAATTTTTACTTTTAACATGCTTTTGTTAGTGTCCCCCTTGTAACAAACTAAGTATCTAATAATGTAGTCAAATATTAGTTATTTTCAACCTACTTAATTTTTAAAAAGCACATAAATCTGTAAGCCCAAAATAAGAAAGAAATTTTACAATAATATGGCAGCTAATGGATTTTTACCATTACTTATGCTGTGTGCTTATCTAACTCAAAAGAAAGATTGTAGCTTTGAATTTCTTAAAGCTTCAAGCAATCATAAAAATAAGAATTTAAACGTGACTTCTATATACGTTCCAGAGAAAAAGTGTCCCAGCGAACAGACAGACTAACCACGAAGTGATCCTAGTTTATTTTTGATAGTGGAAAATTTATTTTAACATTTTGTTTAATCAACATTCACTGAAATATATCGAATATAAATAACCCAATAACCCAAAAACAATAAATACTTACGAAAAATATACCCAACAAATCTTTTATGTAAGAATAAGCTTAAATAGAATAACAACTTTCGTTTTCTAGCAAATAAAATGCTCTACTCCACAAGTATGCGTCTCTATATAATTTTTATTTGTCAGAAATGAGCCTAATAACGTCTCATTTGGACCCTTATCCGCCAATATGGGTCCAATCCGGATACTATTGTGTCCGAGGGATCCTCCTGGAGTGTACTTACAATGTATCAGATATGACCTCGTACGTTTTGAGAGAGTCATAAAATTTGGGTCAGCAAACTTATCTCAGTTTTGTGTTTCGGAGTAAGCTATGTTGTAAGGATTGGTTGATAAAATAGCCCTTTTAATCTTTATAGTGTGGTTGTTTCTGTAATATTTACAGAAACAACCACACTATAAAGATTAAAAGGGCTATGTAGGGTGTTTTAGTCCCTATAAATCACGTGGTATAAAATTATTAGTTTTCGTCTGTGGCTGGAATTACTTTCTGTAATTCCTACAAAGTGTGAGCAAAATTTCGATGATCGAATGACCAATTAAGGCAAAGTATCAAATATTATTACATATGTTAATATTCAAATGAAGAATGCTTGATATGAATCCTTGATTACATATTGGAATAAATATGGACACTATAGTTTTAGTTTGGACTCTACAATATAATGTTATATCCCTATTCTGTGCTTCGTAACAAGTGGTTAATTTTTTTTTAAATCAGCTCACAGGAGTTCCGCCGTCACCAGCCCCGGCATCACTGCCCGGAGGCATCACAATCAACCACGGCGCGAACGCCAGGGACTTTTCACCGCCAGCTCCTACGCCAGCGCCAGACCACTTGTCCGCCGCACATCATCAGGTAAAGGGGTTTTGTTAGAGTGAAATTTATTATAAATGTTTTTTTATTAATTCTTAAAGTCGACACCTTTGTGTTAAATATTAAATTTATATTTATATATATACATATAGCATCATCAACAGCCTATAAAATCCACTGCTGGACATAGGCCTCTCCTTAGAAAGGAGGTTTTGGCCTACTATACCACGCTGGCCAGACGGGTTGGTATAGGGTTTGTTTCAAGTTTTCCTTCTCGTTGCAGTGCTGTTGTCTTGCGTAGTTTTTTCCTTTAGTCGACTTTTACGACACCCTCGGGATGAATAGGAGTGGTGACATTGACATTGAGCCTCGGTGACATTGCGTATTCATATAATATATATATATATATATATATATATATATATATATATATAATTTTTATTCGACCTAATTGATATTATGCAATCGGATTCCTCTCTCATTTGATATTTCAGTAAATTATTAGCCAGAAGTTAGAATTTGATTTGATATTTTAAAAAGGATTTAACATCATATTGCTATTTACTATGGTACTCGTAATACTGAATAATGAACATCCAAGTATATGTTATGATTTTTGAATATACAGGATTTTCAAATAAAAGGTGTTATTTTAGTATTCAAAGAAAAATGCAATTTTTTAAGATAAATAATCGGCTGTTTATTTTATAATAAAGAGGAAGGTATGCCGTTAAAAATGGAAGATAACATCAGCCAAATGGCTACCACGACCACGCTTACAGGACCATATCCTTTTAATGAAATTCGCAAAGTGGCTGCCCTATGTCCTCGATAGTCTTACGAATTCCATCTTTGAGGTCTTGAATCGACGCTGGGCTGTTGGCGTAGACCTTATCTTTCACGTGGCCCCAAAGGAAGAAGTCGCAAGGTGTTAAATCACAAGATCTCGGTGGCCAATTGTGATCACCTGTTCGAGAGATAACACGGTCAGGAAACTTTACCCGTAAATGAGCAATGGTTTCGTTGCTTGTGTGGCACGGAACGCCGTCTTGTTGAAAGTAAACGTTGTCCAGATCAATACCATCTAACTCCGGCCATAAAAAATCATTAATCATATCTCGATAGCGCAATCCATTCACCGTAAGTGTTGATCCAACCTCATTTTCGAAAAAGTAAGGTCCAATGGCCCCGCCGGACCATAAACCGCACCAAACAGTCACATGTTGAGATGGATGGAGAGGCTTCTCAACAATAACTCTTGGGTTTTCCGAGCCCCAGATGCGACAATTTTGCTTGTTGACGTAGCCTCCTAGGTGGAAATGGGCCTCATCAGTCAAGATGATTTTTCGATGGAATTCCGGATCATTTTGATGCATTTCAAGTACCCAATCAGCAAAGACACGACGTTGTTGATGATCGGCCGGCTTGAGTTCTTGTGTTAACTGAACTTTATAAGCCTTAATACCGCCACGCCACTTTATAAGTCTTTATGCAAAATACGGTGTAATGACGTTTGTGGAATGCCCAATTCCAAAGAACGACGAGGAATGGACAAACCTGCGTTTTCTTCAACACTTTGGGCTACAGCAGCAATATTCTCAGTTGTTCTTGAGCGACGTGCACGGGTTTTATTCTTCATATCACTAACTTGTCCCAACAGCTCGAATTTTTCCACAAATTTCTGTATTGCTGTCCGACAAGGTGCTTCACGACGACTAAAAAATGCTTTAGTTTTGCGAACTGTGACTGCAAGATTTTCACCATTTTTGTAGTGAATTTTAATAATTTCAATGCGTTCTTGAAGTGTGTATCGTTCCATTTTTAGTAATGGCGTAGTATCTACTTGTCAAATGTCAAAAAATAAAAGCTTCAAAAGTGACAGCTACCGAAATACCGGGTGATTCAAAATAACACCTCTTGTTGGAAAACCCTTTATATATATTTTTTATATGTTTTATAAACTAACTCCAAGTTCATATTTTTATTCTAATTTCAATGTAATTTAAATGTGTATTGTTGCAGCTGGCAGCAGGACACACAGGTCATGGGATGTTGGTAGGAGGAGGGATGCTGCAACAGACTCCAACGCATCACTTGCTCACACAGAACTCTTTACTTGGTAGGTAGTAATGTATTTCATGCAGCAGTTATATTTATGAAAAGGTTTTTTACAAAATTACTATGTTTTATGTGAACAGTACTATTAGTAGCAAAAGGGGTGGTTTTTGTACAGAATCTAAAATAGTCTATACACAAATTTCATCGTCTTCTAGCTCGTATCCAAATTCAAGATCGGCGTAAAAAAAAATGGCTCCTTCGTTCCACTTTCTTTTTTACACAGTCAGTCTATCTTTTTTCAGTCGTCCTTAATTGTACCCGCCATTTTTTTATTATATAAACTCTTCTCACCATATATTTTCAATCCCCACGTTTCATATGTCGTAGCAAATACGGAAACCTGAATAGTTTATTGGCTTCTACCAATGTAACTAAGATTTAATTAACGCAAAAAGTTTTTTTTTGAGGTACCGAAAGTTAACAAACAAAATGTTTTGTTTATAAATACATTAATTGATCATTTTAAGTAATGGATTTGAAAAAAAATTCGTCATAGATATATTCCTAAACGTAAACCTCATCATCATCAGCCTATCGCAGTCCACTGCTGGACATAGGCGCTCTTGGGACATTAGTTGAACTAATAATAAACAAAGCATAATACTTAATACGCGCGCTTAATACTTTGGGTAATTTTATATAGGAAAAAATAACACATATCGATCATTGGGATTCTTCTGCTATCCGTACCCGAAGTTAATGACGTCACGTTTGACAGTCCTCTAGTTCGCTTGGTCGTGTAGTACCAGAATAATTTCATCGTTCAAACGGAAACAAAACTAATTCAGAAACCATCTGTGAGCCTCCTGCATATTCATTTAAAAAAATAAGATTTTCCTTCTATCTCAGTCTGCGCAGTCTGGCAGATTTTATCGTAACATTTTTGTATTAAGTGTATAATCACCGAAAAATGGGAAGGGGTGTAATACTGGCAGCACATAATTGTCACCCGTACGAGTGTTCACAGACATTAATTAGCACTTACCTTTAGATAAATGTGTTGGCTGTGTAGACAGTAAAAGTTCTGGGAGTTATTACACAGCCCTAATCAGTACTCAAACTACATAACACAACTTATATACACAATATGTATAAATATATTAAATGTCATATTATTAGCTAAGATTGTTAATTGACTGGCCTATTGAAACTCTAAATATCTGTATTTCATAAAAAAAAAAATTTCAAATCGTCGTAGACTCTAAAGTAATAGATCAACACACACACACGCAACAATCTGTTTTGTCAAATATTTAGTTGGTGATCTGTTGGTCCGATTTATTTCATTTCACTGCCGAGCTAAAACAAATCATTATTTTGTTTTGTGTCTGCGTGTAATTTATCAATAATATGTGTCTCTAGAAATATTTAAGTATGTTTGTCATCAGTCTGGTTACCATAGTACAGGCTCTGCCTTTTGAGATCAGACGGCCGGGGGTAAGATGTGTGAAGTCTTCGTCTTAGTCCATCCAAAAGATCTTTGTAAGAAATTGTTTTAGCGATAAGGATGCTTTTTGTCCATTGTCAGATGTATTCCGTGTTTAATTTCCCTTTTTAAACAATAAAAAATATTTCTAACCTATATAAAAGTACCTATAGCACTCTTACACCATGCTATGCGAAAGGTGTTTCCGAAAGAATGATTAGTGCATAATTTAAAAAAAACGAAAATGATTTTCAATGGAAGTTACCAGAATCACTGATATAAAAACAGCGATCTAGTGAACAGTAACGGTACGCTGCATTTTAATTTGCCCGTAATGCAGTGAATGGGAAAATATGGGCCAGTTATTCCAATATATAATGTACAAATAACTCACAAATTTATTCATAATAATTTAAATAAATGTAATCACTTGCTATTTTAATCATCGTTGAGATTAAAACATACACATTTTTTAACTAATGTATATAATAACCGAGCCACGGCTTTGTCTGCGTTTACAACAAACACCACCAGTTTTTATCAATCAATATGGATGCCAACTTCGGTGTGCTATTAAAGCGAATATAAGTTTGTTGCGATTTGATACGCCTTAGCTATTTAACTGATCATCATAATAATAATAATAAATCTCTTTATTGTACACCAGGTATAAATATATAAAGTTTAACTTAAGCTAGGTTAGACAGGTACAAATGGCGGCCTTATCGCTCAGAGGCAATCTTTTACAGGCAACCTTGGTATGGAGAAAAAAACATAAAGGCAAGGAGGTGTAGGGTAGTGGCTGGTGTACTAAGAAAATACGAGTAGATTAGAAGAGGAAATCAATGTAGCATCAATATAAATATAAAAAAAAAAAGTGATAATTACAAAAAAATAACTGGTAGGACTAGGTCTAGGACTCTGATACGACTTAGGTGAATATATGACATAGGTACTAGAAGGAATATGCCATATACTATATGATAAATAAGACTAGTGGTGTTATTAGATACATACAAGTGAATAAATAAAATAATGTGATTTATGTTGTCTGACAAAAAAGACAATCTTTAGCCGTTTGAGTGCAATGATTCGACACCTCTTGGTCAACTTGACCGAAGTGATAACGGTCACAGAAAACTGGTGTTTCATTCCTCTCAATCTTGGGGTGCGGCAACGTCTTGAGTTGAAGGTGTGGACGTCGATAGTCCCATTTCGTGGTGACCATAAAAAAAGTTGTATACCTTTCATTCTGAAATTAACAATTCACTTTTAATATTTAAAAACTATTATTGAAAAATAAATGTGAGCAGAAAACAATATTTTATTAATTAGTCTTAGAGTTTAAATGAAAACTTCTATAAAATATACCGATATAATATAAAATAAAATCTGCCGTACTTCTTAATGTTAAATTAAAAAGCAAAGCTTTTTTACTGCAAACAATTTTCCTTTATATTATTTATGTACGAACAAAACTTCAGACTAAAACTAAACTTTATTCCTTTCGAAAACAGAAATTTAGAACACGACACGAATCATTAATTGTTATATTTTCTTGAATATCTAACTTAAGCACAGTTTCAAACTAAGCTCAAAGTAGTTTTAAAACTAAGCTCACCGTGTTTCAATATTGATTACTTGCTAAGAATTGTTTCTATAAATATGTAAGAACTTTGAGTTTTTATTACAATGCATAATTCAAATTTAATTATAAAAAGTCTAGTACAATTGTAATGCCTGCACTAACTAAGTTTGATTAACAAACAAAGTGAAAAATCTCATAAATATAACTCGAACAGTGTGGTTTGTTGTGTCAATTATTTTACACGTTAGGATGACTGCACGTCATTGTTTAAGCGGTTGCTACGCCGCTTACTACTACGTTGAGTGTTGTAGATTCGATCCCCAGATGGGACGACACTTTGTGTGATCAACAAATTGTCGTTCTGAGTCTGGGTGTTCTTTGTGTCCGTTTCATGTATGTTTGTAAAAGTCCCCCGCGACACAGGATATATTCCTAATGCGGGAGTTGTCTTTTAAAAAAAACCGAAAGAAAGAGCCTTGCGTTGCTTACTTTTTCAAACTAAAGAAGAGTGAAGACGGAGAGAGAAGTTGTAAGAGAAGAAACGGAGAAAGATGTTTTCCGTGAAGTTCGTTCTATATATTACATATTTTTAATTACATCGTTCAGAAATACTTTATTTTCTTTAGTAAAGTCATATTTTTCTTGTTTGTATGGGTTTTGGAATCTAAATCCAAATTATTAGTTAAGATTAACTTTCTAAACTAACCTTTTTAAAACAGCCATTCACACATATTGTTTGAAATAAAATTCAGATAATTGAATGGTTATTATATTTTAACAAGTATTTTTAACAATTCATAACTTATAACTAAGCTCACATATCATCTAAACTAAGCTTACTAACACTAACCAGGTGGCGGTGATATCCTCGGACTAAGCAGCCCAGTATTGGGCGGTGTTCTTCACGCCCACCCGGCGCTGCGGGGCGTGAAGCCGGCTGCAGTCCACGCGCTTGCAACGCAAGGTCGGTACGTCAAACTTTATTTAGCTCCAAAACCAAGCACAAAGTTGCAATAAATAATGGTCAAAATTCGATGGCCAAGCATTCTCTACATTTCTATAAAGTGGATATACATACAAAAGCTAAATAACCAGTAATGGCAAATTATATGCTTAAAGGTTCAGAATTTATTTGTAGTGTTCAATGCTGTAAAAAAATGGCAATATTTAATTTTATTGTGCAAATTTGTAATTATTTTCAACATGCAATCACTTAAAAATTAATAGTACACTTGAAATAAAAACAACGTCTGAATCAGTTTCACAGCACCGCTTGTACGAGTACAATAAAACATTTATTTTTAAATTCATAAACTTCTTTTTTGATCATTTAAAAACCAACACTGCTCCTTTGATAACTTTGGAAACTTCACCGAAGCTAACGATGATCTAACACGCCATAATCAAATGGACTCTAACCTTTTGGTATTCTATCACAAGTGTGTTGTTGTATACTGTGTTGTTTAGTCTAAGAAGTGGAAACTAAATTCATAAACGCCTAGTCACGAACGGCAGTCGTGTGGAAATCGATTACTAAAAAATTATTTAATTCACTTAGAGAATTAGGTTTTTCTTTATAACATACTAAGTGTACTCTCCAATTCGTGAGAGATAAAAAACAAAACTAACGAGACAAATAGATAAAAACAATCTTTAAAGCGGGTTTGAGCTATGAGCTCAATTGGTAGATAACTTTGTGAGTTTTTGAAGCGTACGCAAATCAAATTAACATGTTTATATATAGGTCATATATGTGACCAGAATCTGCTGGAATACATCTAAATTTAAATATATTTAAATCTAAGTTTCAAATATAATTTGTATGAACTTACAAAGCTAACTAAAGTATTAATTGTAGTCATATTTCGAATCTACTGTTATAACAGAATTGCTATTGTATTTGGGAATATAAAGTGTCTTTATTATTTAGTTAAATAGGCTTCGCTTTCAACCGAACCTTATCTTTGTAAGTAATGACTTTGTGAAAACAGTTGAAACATTCTGAGCTCTAAATAATAGGCTATGCCGATACAGTCTTGTTATTGCTTGAGACATTATGTAATTATGAAATATATTAGATTTAAACATAAATGTACTTTCAAACGTGTTAACACTAAAGACATAATTTAATTGCCATTACCAAATATTTTATTTTTGTAAGAATAAAACATTAAAAACGAAGCATTGTTTGTTTTGAAAGTTGTGTACAGTTGTAATTGGACTTCAAGTTCGCTCACTGTTTATTACTAAGGTCACTCTTTGTATGTCTCGATCTGTTGTCTGTATCTGTACCTATCGAATAAAATAAAATAAAAAATATAATAGATTATTGTTTTGAGCCGGTTTCTGCGATTAGATTAATATATCGATTTAAACACAATTTATTTAAATTAGTAAAATAAACATATTTTCGCATTTTACGATCGCTATTCATCTAACTTTTTAAACTTTTTATAGCAGAACTCAAATGGCACAATAACACAGAACAAAACACATCAGTTCAGTTTTTTAAACTACGACTTTATCTAATGGAAAATGCCAGAAGGCTCTTGAACTTTCTCGAAAAAAGTCGTAATAACCTAGCTGTCTGGATCTGAATATCCAGCTGACTATTCTAAATGATATGTACATTTTCGGCCATGGCGACTGCTTCGACTCCTAGTCGGCTTGAGGACTGAAACCTTACTGGAAACATTAACGAATATTCTGGAATGTTTAAACATTTTCGCAATTCAGTTCAGCTTGTGCGACCGAATGACTAGACATATATATATACATACCATAGTACTATAGACAGCAAATCCATGTTTAAACACAAATATTTAACTATCATATAAAAAATCTCTTAATAAGTGTTGCTGTTGCTGAAAGAATGATTACCAATTTTCAGTTTCATTTGATCATCGGATCAGACAACAAAGCTGTGTTTACAAAAAAATCTTATGTCAAATGTCATTCGACTTTTAAAATGTTTCCAGTGTGAGCTGATTCGACATCACTGTCAACTTAACAAGTGTGATAGTTGAACAACATTTTGTCTATAGCTTTTCAGAAAACGGTAGTAGGTAAGCGATAATTTTTCTATCCTTATGGATTTAGTCCTGTCAAGTACTATGCTTTCAAAATACGAAACGTTATTTGACAGGACTAAACAAAACGAAACAGTTTTCGAACAACAGAATTTGCACCATTATCTGACCAACTACCAGAGAACTAACGACTTTTGTTTGTGCTGACATTCAGACAGTCAACGCCAAAACTAAGCTCACATATTCCACCGTACAAAACCAAATTTCCAACGAGCCCAATTTGTTTAGTGATTTACGTATCCATTCTACAAAACTAATTGACTAGCTCCCTGCTCAAAGACACTTTTAATTGAAACGTCTGCGACCATGCCGCTTAATTGGAAACCATTTGAAAGCATATTGTTTGATATTGTAAAGTTAACTATCATTTAAATTGTGCGGTGCAAGTCACAAGTTTTTGAATTTTATTTTATGATATTGTGTAGACAAACGTATAGGCGGTTTCCTTGATAGTTGGTGACTAGCGCCGACCTTTGACCTCCCCCCCCGAATCAGGTGGAGGGGAGAGGAGGTTTGAGCTCCGGTAACCTCACTCACTCGAGGTAAAGCAAGGAATTGGACACCATTTTTCTGTGAAGCTGTGGTAACACGCAGGTCGAACCGGCCAATTCGGGCCGAGGCATTGCCCTCCCACGTTAAAATTATTAGGGGTTAAAGTATCAAATTGCCGATTTGTACTGAAAAAATTGAAAATTTTTCCTAAGATGTGACACATTTATTTAATGAAAATATTTACCTTCATTATCTCTACATTGCAGTTATCTAAACAGAAGTTTATTTATGTCTTTACGATAGAACTTTGGGGATCTAGATTTGACAAACTGTGTGAAAGCATATTATACTGCGTCCTGGAGAGATTTTATTTATCACGTAGAAAATTGCCTAAATCACGAAAAAAAAATAGTCCGTTGTAGCAAGGTCTGGCGAGTATGGAGGATGATGTGCGGTTTCTAACTGCAGCTCCTGTAGAGTTACAACAGTTTCTCTTGCAGTGTGAAGTCTTGCCTTATCATGGAGCAATAATGGTGAAGATCGATTCACTAGACGGGACTGTTTCACTGCCAGTTTCGCTGTCATTGTTCGAAGTTCGACACAGTAAGTATTTGCTGTTATTGCCTGATCAGACCTGAGAAAGCTATAGTGAATAACACCATGAATAGACCACCAAAACAGTTACCATTACTTTTTTATTGGTAAGCTTTGCTTTAGGGTACTATTGCGGCATTTGATCTGGGGTCAACCATTGTATTTCTAGCTTACGATTATCGTAAACAATCCACTTTTCGTCACATGTCACAATTCGATCCAGTATTCCTTCATTTCTGTACCGATTCAACAAGACAAGGCAAACACAAGATTCAACACGAATGTCTTTCGGCAGATCAGTCAAATCATATTTCATCCCATTTTTCATATTTTTATCTTATTGGTTTGATGCAAATGATACAATATTATAGGTAAGGTAACGTTAAACCATGCCGCTAATTTCTAGGTATTTTGACTCGAATCGGCTTCCACTATGTCCTGCAATTCAGCGTTATTTACTTATGTGGGTGGTCTTCCACATGGTTCGTTTTTCAAGTCAAAGTTTCTATTACTTTAACGTTTAAACCAGAAATGCAGGTGCGTTCATTAGCAGTCTCCTCTCCAAACGTAGCGTTGATATTGCGAGCCGTTTCTGCCTCGTTAGTTCCGCGTAGGATCTCGTATTCAAAAATAACTCTGATTTTCGAAGTATCCATCTTTCACATATAAGCTGAATAAAAAAACAATTGAAATTCGAAAATCGAATGTAGCACATTTTTTAAAGGAAGAACTTCATAGGTATCACGTCAAAAAAAGTTCCACACGAAAATCTCACACCATGAAGGTTTTATGTCAATTCAAAGTATCTATTACTATTACTATTACAAAGGCAATTTCATACTTTAACCCCTATTATTTATAATTTTAGTATTATAATTAACTTTTGAAAAAGTATTACTGACTTTAAAGTGCCTACATTCGTTCTTTTTTTACGGAAAGATTTCGTTAGGTTCATGAATACTGCATAATTTAAGTGACGTATACCTAATACTAAAGTGTCTTACACGTATCTATAATAACAAAGTCTCGAAATAGGTAAATTAGGACACATCATCTCTTTGGAAGAAGAGAAAGCTATCTAAAATGCCTTCTCCAAAAAAAGAGTTTGATTGAGGTTCATTTATGTAATCCTATATGCTTAATGTATTATGTATTTCCTATATGCTTAATGTATTATTTTGGTATTTGTTTAATTTATCTTTTATTTTCTTCTAGTCTAATGATAAATATATATATGAAAACGTAATATATGTTCATAAAAACAAAGATAGCTTCTTGAAAAGGAGGGATGTACATGCTTTTAATACCAGAAATAGAAATAAACTTGTGGTACCTGCCTCTAGGCTCCAAAAGATAAACAAGTCATTTCGAGGTCAACGTGTCCGATTCCATAATAAAATCCCAGTATACAAGATTTTAGTTTAAACAAATTTAAATCCACAATAAACTTTAAACTATGTCAGAAAGCCTATTACTCAATTGTGGATTACATAGAAGACAAGAATGCTTAGGATCAATTTAGCACAGGCTATTTCGTAGTGGAAATGTGATGTGGGCTAGTGTGTCTTTTATTAAATTTTCCATTTTTTCATGTTCAATTTACTTTCTTTTATATTCCATCTTATTTCTATATCTTGTTTTCTCTTCATTGATACATTTAGCACACGGCAGTCTGATATACTAGGTAGAGTCTGTGCTATGGTCACCAGACTCCTGATAAAAATGTCAATTATACCCAGACACAAAGCAAATGATCGTGCTCACCACACAATTTTTTGTCCTGGGTCGG